GTAATCCCAATAAGGACTCATTTTCTTGTGCCCTGCTGAAATTCCATTGTGTATTTTTGCAAATAGCGGGAGCATCCGCATCAGTGACCTTAGTTTCTGTAAAATTTGTTCGCAGATATCTGATGTTATCAGTAGGTGTGGTTACTCCCTTATTGACATAAGTATTCGCGTTCACCGGATTACTTCTGAAGGAGTCAATCTGACGAGAACTAACAAGGACGGATATCTCATGATCGCACCGAATCAATTACTGTCAGCCTGATGTATGACAACCATCTGAATGCGATCATCTTCCAACGAATAACCTCGATCTTGTTCTCCATATTGTGTACATCACTNTCATGCTGCCGATGATGATGATGTGATTACAATCACGATTTGACCATAAGTGGCAAAGTACGGTTAAGTGGTTCACGGGTAAGTGCACAGAGACCTAGGTTGGGACAGTCAATCAAAGCACAGAACGCCTGGAGACTCTTTAGTTAAGTAGAGAACTGTCTGGTTCAGCAAGGACATTAAGGAGCTCCAACGAAGCAATAACAACGGCGAAACCGGTTGTGCGCTATCGATTAGTTTTCAGCATCCTTATGAGTAGTGTGTTAGGTCTAGTCAACATCATCATTTAGTTATTCAACGTTCTTCTCTGTATAAAGCTCATCATCATTATCGATAGCACATCACTGTTCAAAACTGATGCTTCGTGGCCGAAATAACTGGAGTTCGTTTCGAAGGTTTATTGTGAAAAATAACTAAAAGTGGAAGTAAATGTATTTGATGTTGACCTGCCACACTCATCCGTGGGTGCCTATCCTTTCAGATACTCATTCAGACAACCTAGATAGGTTCGGATCACAAGAGCGTCATGCCATCCATATAGTGTTGACAGCAGTAGATACCAGTTATTAGCTGTTGTCGGTTCACCTCTAGACTGGACATGAATACGTCTGCAAGGAATGGTCTTGACAGAGATCGTACTCCATCTTTTCACATATGCCGACGGACATTCCATCCAGAAGACTGGCCCACACCGTGACACAGACTTACAATTCAGTGAGGCCCAGTATCATCGTCATCATCATCGACAGCATGACATCAGTGTTCAACACCGATGCTTCACTGCCGTACAACCATGATTTATTCGAAAGCCTATACCAGTTATTAGCTGTTGTCGGTTCACCTCTAGACTGGACATGAATACGTCTGCAAGGAATGGTCTTGACAGAGATCGTACTCCATCTTTTCACATATGCCGACGGACATTCCATCCAGAAGACTGGCCCACACCGTGACACAGACTTACAATTCAGTGAGGCCCAGTATCATCGTCATCATCATCGACAGCATGACATCAGTGTTCAACACCGATGCTTCACTGCCGTACAACCATGATTTATTTGAAAGCCTTATTGTAAAGAAAAGAGTAAAGGTGAACGGGGAAGGGACTTAGTCCTAGCTTACCACAGTCATTCCGAGATGCCTATAACTCGAGGCACTCACTCAGGCAATTTGGATAGAAACCGACAACGAGAACGCCACTGACATCGGTTGGAAGCCATATCTTGTAATGTCTCCAACCACGGACAGTGAGGATCACGCGGTCCCCATACTGAAAGGCGAGTAGCACCGACAGCCCAGTATGGTGCTTACTAACCCACCTATCTATGCCCAAAGATCCAAGAAGCAGGAGACCAACTCATTGGTTGGTTATTCTTTCTCCTGCTGTTGTGAACCGAACTATCTGGGTCGGCAAACAAGCTCTGGTCGTCAAAATGATGTTAAAGAGACCTTCAAGGACCTGTAGCAGGTACCACAATACAAAAATAAAGGTCACGGACAACTACTGTCAGCGACAGTCGAGGCCATAAGAATACACCTGTTCAGACTCTTATTGTTCTTTCAGGAGCAACAGGTACAGGTTTTGTCAACACCTTCGTCCCCTGAGTAACTACCACAGTCCACGTTAACAGCACGGTAGTTGACGGACACCCAGGTCTACTAAGTCAAGCAGATGTGACTTTAACAAGCCGACAAGCCCCGTCCTCTCTACTTCCTTGTGAATAGCTTTAGTGTCCTTTCATCCCTGTGCAGTTGTATTCCGTAACCAGCTTACTCGTCTTTTTCATCATCATCACTGTCAGCTGTAATAACCGCGTACTCGTCGTACAGTGGTTGTAGTTGCAGCAGTTTCGTTCACCGATAATTTGGAGGGAGGGGGGTAGGTAGCTGCGCATTGGAGGCGGAACGTGATAAATTGGTGTATAAATCCAGCATTGTCAGTGGGATGTCAAGTGGGGGGTTGGAAAAGGAGCTATGCATTGAAGGCAATAGCTTTGATGCACGAGGGCCATTGAGGGTGCGACTGGGCCATGTCTGATAATGTCTTCAGCCATTGATGTGGCCCGTCTCGTGGTCCCCATTCGGCAACGGTCAGAGCAGCTGAGGTTGCTGGTAATGGATTATTCTTTGCTGCCAAGTTGTTGCTGACCACCTCTGGCTCTCTTCCACTCTTCATGTGGTTGTGCAAAAAGAGCCCTTCGAGGAAGTCGGTCGACTGGCATACACAGCACGTGGCCAAGCCAGCGCAACCTATGCAGTATGATCAGTTCATCTATCGAGGGTGAGTTATTTTTCCCGGATACCATTTGACGAACTTCAGCATTGCTGATCCGATGTTCCCACCAGTTAGTGAATGTGCTTAGAACGTTCTTTTTACTTACAAGACAATGTTCTTTGAGGTCGGAGGACTCTGGTGCAATATCATGTTAACATCGTTCACTTCACGATAAGTACACAGTCAAAGACGATCGGATGAGCAAAGCAATCATGCTCACCAAGCAGCCTTACGGATACCCACACTCGCTCCGAACCTTAATGCAGTAGACATCAAGGGCATACATAGTGTTATGCTCATCTTTCAGGAAATCTGGGGGACACACAGAGATCGATTAATTCAACAGGATGAATGACGAATTTGCTGTTGTGTCTGTGAAATTCAGAAACAACTCAGAACTATTCGAATTTGTATGTCCGGTTTGCAGTTAGGCCGTCTGAAGCGCAGTCACTACAGAAGAGGCGACTACATCGACGACGGAAGCATCGTAGAACACTACCTCACGTAAACCTAGAACCAATGGTTAATTGCACAATCCTGTCCCGTTAACGAACGTACCCTCTAAAGAGATCGAACCCCCAGTGGGAACTTTTCGGCTATTCTTAGCTCCCTGAGAAGATCGAATTCGGCTGGTATTCTCATTGGATTTCTACTGAAAAGTAGAACAGTCCTATGTGCATAGAATCTCGTATCCATTTCTCACAATTTTCAACAGGTGCGAAATTGGAGAATAGGAACGTATTCGGTCTGTTATTCAGCAACAGAGTGGATGAAACATCACAGGAAACGATCGGATGCCAATGAGTGTATTTCTCGAAAACAGTTCAAGTAGAACATAAGGTTGACGGAAACCCGGGGATTGCGCTTACCTGGTGAACCCCAAGAAGGGTGAAACCGGTCGTGGGCTGTCAAAGAGTTTTCAACAACCTTGTGAGTGGTTTCCTTTATGAAAACGATGGAATAAACCTGACTTCGTAAGGAGACGAATTAATTTAACATATAATAGACATGATTACCGTTGTAAAATGTCCCGAGAAAACTAAGATGTTGAGTGTGTTAGAAAGTACTCGATATAAGTTCATTTGAAGACAGCGAAATTTTCTAGCTGGGGGCTGTGACCACAAAAAACTGATTCCGTTGAAGAAGAGCAGGCTGCACTTAGAATGGGATAGACAGTCAATGGCGGAAGGCTTCATTTTGGTTTCAGTTCTCTTCAATGTCTTCCGATTCTCCTGAATTACGGTAGTTCATGCACTGTGACCACGGTCAGTATAACCCACTAGTGCACGCAGACAGGTGCAAAGAACAGGAAACAGAACATCTTTGTAATGTACTACTCATAAGGTTGCTGGAAATCCGTCGACAGTCCACGACCGGTTTCGCCCTTTTTGGGACTCATCAGGTAGGCGCAGTCCCTGGGTTTCCGTCAACCTTACGTTCTATTTGAAACCAAATTGCACGCAATCAACGAATATATACCCATTTGCAAACTAATTTGGTTTTTTGAGAGACTCACCTGGAACCCAGCTGAATCTCTCGTTTGTGATGTCCTCAGGCAACTGAATGTGCTGCACCAGGCCGCCTCATGTTTCAGTCGCTACGATATTTGAAATATCGCGATACATGTATATCTTTGTAATGTACTACCCATAAGGTTGCTGAAAATCCATCGACAGCCCACAGGAAACAGAACAGGTTGACGGGAACTCGGAGAGTGCGCTTACCTGATGATCCCCAGGAGGGGCGAAACCGGTCGTGAGCTATCGAAGAGTTTTCAGCAACCTTGTGAGTAGTTTCCTTTAAGGAAACAGGACCCTTTACTAACAAGTTGGACTAGTCAGTACGGATTAGCAGCATCCGAACTTGTTGAATACGTCAAATGGACCTGCGAACCTGTCTCCTCTTGCAGTTGATTCACTTGCCCAAACACGTGATGATCTGGACTTCCGATGGCAAATCTATTTGAAATTATCGATCTGCCTAGCAGTTGTGTTAACTGTGTTTCACTGAACTTTGGCTGTGATACTTCCGGGTTATTACTAGCACAAATAACAAATAAAATTGGACAAAACCCACTTTGTTGT